TCAGAAATATGAGTTAATATATATGTATTCATCACTCAAATTAGAAAGAAAAAAAGAAAAATCTATACTAAAATGCAAACTAAATTTTTTTTACTGTAAATTCTATTTTAGTGAACTACCAACTTTCAAAACAATAGAGATGCATCTTCTGGAAGAGATTCACGCATACAGATTCGCACAAATAAACTGATGACCAATGTACTATTTGTAATCAGAGAACATATTATCTTGTCTCTTTTCCTTCAAATCAACCACATGGTCACCTATGCACGGTAAAATATATTCAGTATTCAAGTACACAAATCATAAAATATACCTGCAAAGAAATCTAGCCAACTTCAAAGTAGCCTCGAGTTCAAAACTTAGGGGTGAAACCCTATCGAGGAGGAAAAATGAAAGAAAGAATGTTAAAGGGGCAAATATATGAAACAACATATCAGAGATTGGTAAAATGAACAGCACATGCAAGTACTCGTATATATTAATTGATTTGCAAAAAGTGAATTTCGATCATGAACAACAAAATATTTTTCCAAAGAAACAAAATTTCATTTTACTTGTCCTATCAAAAACATAGTTTTTATCATGACAATCCACAATTAAACACGTAAGAGAAAGTCTCTAGTCCAACTTACACGTGTTTTAGCTAATCTCAGGGAGCAATTGTCTAATCTTACTAAATTTGGTTATAAAAAAAACTTGTAGAATTTTATTAAATCATAGGTAAGCGACCATGTGTGCTAAAACTTCATTCTCTCAAAAACCATTTATTGCCCCAATACCACTAGGCAAACTCAATGGTGGGAAATTGTTTCTTTCTTAAGAACTAGCTATGTTAATATTTTAAATAATTGCTTAAAATTGATGTCATGCTTCTCTTTAGGTTAATTTAACTTTAGGCCTTATTTTGCTTGATTTTAGTCCTTTTCTGGGTTAATTGGGTTCCTCTTGGGGTATTTTCTTGCATTTATTCTCAATGATAGCTTGGTTTTTAACCAAAAAAAGCTATTGTATGAATAAATTATAAGAGATGAAACTATTTTTAACAATATCAAACTTAAGCACTTTACTCTCAAATGATTTGCTACAATATTTATTATTTTTTTAAAACAGAAAAACCTGAACACTACCTTTGGGTGTTATCTTGTATAAATGACTTCCTGTAATGCAAAATAACACTATTGTATCGGTATCTGACTTCTTCCTCCAGAATTGCATCCGTTTGACCCATGCGATCAATCTGATATTCAGAAGTATAAAGTAAACCAATTAAACAAAAATACGTCAAGACATACACACCACCAAAAGTATAGAAGTATGCCATGAATACCAACAAGTTTCAAAGACTCATGATTTAGGCTACTTTATTTCTCGAGAAGAATGAGAAAATAAAGGATTTTGTTATATGCATAACTGTTAGAAACTTAAACAAATTTTCTGTTGACTCAATAATAAAGTCCAGTAGATGGGGATCTCAAAAAGACCCCTTACTCACCCTCAAATCAACAAATTTCAAGCTGCCTTGTTTATATGATATATCACTTATTTCTCATCCTTGCTAACTATGTTGCGACTTAAGTCAGTATTCCAGGGGTCAACACTCTGTCGTAAGTAAAAACTTCAGTTATTCTAATTATTTCTCGACTACTACTCTCTTAACCCCCTGCAAAAAGTAAAATACAACGGGATCGCAGCATTTATGGGAATGCTCCGACCATCTTTATCCATGGCGGTCAATTGGCAGAACTAATACCATAGTGATGTTTTGAAATCAACAAAGAAGTGAATCTAATGATGATATTCCAATTATGAAAATATCCCTCGTACAATAGCACCATACACAATGCCTTGACATGGAGTTCCGGTAAAAATTAGGTGTATATATATATATTCTAAGCCGCCTCAAACCTGGAAGTTATAGCTGTACTTTGATCATAGAAAATTGCTACTTAAACTATGTGGACAGAACCGGATATCACGAAGAACATCATCAAATGAAATTTCTAGTTCTGGATGCAGATTATTTTACTAAAGAAACAAATACTGTATCCTAGGGGGAGGGGATTAAGGAAATGCTAGAGAGAGGAAGGTACCAGTAAGGCACAGACACTTCCCTCCAAAGCCCCCGCGTACCAAAAATAGTCCCCGGTTAACCGAGCAAGATCGATTGCAGTAGAATAGTGAGCGTTGGCATCAACTGGTGATGCTGCCAGCAGACAATAGTCACCAATTGTCTTCTGTGCACGACCAAGCCTTCTCTTTTTGGCTTTAATAACCTGCATTTTTCATCAGTTACAAACTATTAAGTTGCAGTGTTTAGAACATCCTTTCGCATTGTACTTACAGTTCTCCATTAAATGTGAGATGCGAGCCGTATCTAGATAAGAAATGACATAACAGCAACAATTGTAATAAGAAAACTAAATCAATTAATTAGGACACCTAAATATAAACCTCCTCTGAGCTGAGACTTGCTTGAGAATCTAAAGGCGTCTTCAAAATAGTTCCAGCAGACTCTGCTTGAAGGACCCATTTCTCAAATTCCATCAACAAAGAAGCTGCAATATCTTGCATCATTGTGTTCAGATGAAATTCCTGAGTTTGCCGGTCAGCTGGAGGAAACAACCTCAAATTACCTCCTTTTTTGCTGCCTTCTTCTAGCTGCAACAAATTCCAAGAAAGAGAGAAAAAAATTAGATGCTCAAAAGCTTTAATTGATCATAAATAACTATTTGCAAGTCTTACGACTTAACATTCACGAAGATCATGGATATGCGTTTTTCTTTTTCAGGTGAGCATGGTCAAATCAAAGTTAACAAAGAGCACAAAGCAATTCCCTGCCTGAGAATCATCGGGGCAAAAGGCGAAACAACGTTCGACGAGCGCCGAAGTGTAACCCTTGCAGGCGGCATTGAACTGCTCAGTAGCAGAATCAAGATCGGGGGAAGAAGGACAGTGACAGATACCAATAACAGCAAGGATCTTGCGGTTGGATTGGAAGTCTTCCCAAGGGCTAGGCGGATCTCCACCGAGAATAAACTTGAAACGAAGACTACCAGAGTCCCAAGGCTGATGAGCAAACGGCGATTTCTGGTGCTCCGTGTAGAACGAACTTATGGCGGAAAGTGGAATCAATTGGTGCCGCAGAAGCATCGACAAGTAGTCCCGCAGTTGAGTCGGCGGAACCGAACCGATCGGCAGCACCGCCACTCTGATCATGGAGCTCGTTTCGATGCTCACATCGGGCTCCATTGTGGGATCTGAAGCTGACCGTGAGGCGCAATGCGGCGAACACAGCAGGAAGAGGCGAATTGAATCAGTTCTAAGCCGTCGAAAACTGTAATCGAAGGAGGAAGACGATCAAGATTTTGGTGCGATCGTTCTTTGAGCTTCGAGGACAGTGGAGAGCTCTGTTTGGCTTCGGCGTTATGCTGCTCCGTCCAAGTCCTGTAATTATCCTCTCCAATCCTCCATTATAATTCTTCAACTAATTAAAATTCCTCGCCGTAAAAATATTATTTATAATGTAATAAATGATGAATTTATCCACGGATTTTTTTTTTCACTTTAAAAAGAAAAAAAAAAAAGTTTAAATTATTAGCTCATATATAATAAATCTTAAATTTGTTGATTTTCCTAAAATATTTTTTATAAGTTTTAAGAATATATTCATAAATTGACCAAAAAAATGTTTGAAATATTAAATTTAACATTTAAAAATTATATAATTTTTAAAATTTTATGTCCGGTTACTCTCAAATCTTATATTTATTATTATTAATTATTTAAGTTTAGCTCCACTTCAACCAAACTTGTCTTCAATTTAGAGATTAAATGTTCCATCATTTATTTCAAATATTTTTATATTTACATAAAATTTTTAATTTTGTAACTTAAAAAAACAAAATTTTCATTAATAATTTTGATGATATTTAATGTCAATAAAGATTCTGTGACTAGTAAAGAATAATAATAATTATTATTATTATTATGGTTAGAAATATAATTAGGCTTAAAATTAGAATAGAATTTGTAAATTTGTAGATCCGTTCAGAAGAGATTACATCTTGGCCCGTCGAGACGACCAATACTCCACCGCGCCGGAGAAGAGGCACGACGGCTTGAAACTTTGAACCGCCGGCGGGCAACAGCGAACAACTCATATTATTATCAGAACTTTGTACAATAATCTCAAGGTTACAGCGGCGGAAAGGCCAATGGAGAAGGCCGATTATCACTGTTTATCTAAACTCATTACTAGAACATATGGATTCTTAATTTTTAATGACTAAACTATACTAGAGTTTTGTTTAAGAACAATTTGCAGAACGAATGGCTTCTACCACTCCGAACGCTAGCGACGGGGTTAATGTTGGAAAGCACGACGGCCTGAAAACACGACCGACTATGATCAAATTACAGTGGACATAAAGTGTGCCTTAAACCCAGTCGAGCTCGTATTATATCGTTGCATCGAGTTCGTTGAAAGAGAAGTTGAGATGAATCTTAAGAACTAGTTGGCGAGATGGTGTCCAAAAGTCTTCACAAAGGACACTCACTTGGGAAGTCCATTTCTCAGTTTTGAATCGCTTTCTACGTTGTCCCAGGGATTTTTTTTTTAGACCAACCCAACTCGAAATGCTAATCCAACCTAACCCAACCCCTATAGTTCGAGTTTGGTTGGTCTGGATTGTCAGGTCGAATGTACACCCCTAATATATAGTAAAATGGTTACCTGATATCAAAGTTTAAAAGATGTGCGATGCATATAAACTTATAAACTTATGTTAATTCTTTTCTAAAGTACTCCGAAAACGAGTATAAGGATCGAACAAGCTATATTGATAAATCCAATACACATTCTTCTCAGGTGTGAATTTTACTGCTAGAACCAAACTAGCTGTGATTCAACACTTATTTGTAATCAAACTATGCTGCTGCTACCCATTATGGCACTTTTGAATGAACATCATGAGTAAGAAAGCATTAACAAAAGGAAGGAAGGCGCAGTAAAAAAGAAATATTAAGATGAAAGTCATGATGACAAACAAATTCATTGATTATGTACCTATTATAATAAACGCTACAACGAATGAATCAAACCCTACACCATTCTAGAGGGATTCAACAATTGGTTTTACCCACAGGATTACAGGCTGAAGAGCTAATAAAAGTCTGGTTGGTTGGGCCTACACTACAAGACGGCAAACTTTCTTTGCCATCACCACAAGTTGTAGGGTCATAGGGCTGATGGCCTTACCAGTGACTACCAGGTTTAATCCCACATAATCCTTTAACAATATCATATTAGAGAGAGAGAAAGAGAGAGTCAATGTATTTTCACCTTAGTCAATAATCCTCTGAGGGTGCCATATTCAAATCTGGTAGTAAAAAGACAGAGTCTTCTTCGGTTGATTTGCTCTTCTTTTGTGATTGAGCCTCGGAAGAACCTGATCCAGTGAATGGTATTGTAGGAGGGCTTGTTTCAATGTTATTAGAGCTTTCCCTTTGATGGGTAAGTGTAGATGAAGATTCCTCATGCATCATATTGGAGTTTGTACTGAATTTCTCTGGGTATTTCAAGTTGAAATCAACCTGCATAATGTAACATTGTTTACTAAGTTATGGATTTGAGTCAAGGTCAAGTGGAGAATCTTGGTTTTGAAGCGTCAACATCTTTGAAACTCTCATTCTTGAAAGAGTCAAAGGCATTCATGGAAGAAGAAGGCAGAGTTACCTTCATTTTCTTCAAACTCTCATTCTTGGATCTTTGTTCTTCGAAGCTTGCCTGTAGAGTGGCCAGTTCCTGTTCATAAAGTAAGGTCATCAAAAACAGGATAGTGCGAACAATAAATAAACGGCATCTTCCCCTAATCTGACTCCATTTCAAATTGAATTCTACGTCCAATCGAATACTTGACATGTACCCCCTCTTTCCGGCCCATCACAAGAGAAACGAAAACCAAGATTTTCTTTATCCAGTATCAAACACGAGCTATGAGAAAATAGAACAACTTTCAGGAGTATCAATATCGTACATGAATCGTAATGCATGAATATGATGTACCAAGAAAATCTGCAATTCCCAACGTAGGTAACAAAGCAACTTTGCCGCCCATGGCCATTAAATCACCACTCCTAAGTCAAATTGGTGCCTGTTGTTGCACCGGGGGCTGTTATACTAGGTGCTAAAGCATGGGTATTTTGTATCCATTGAGCAAAGACGGGTTGTAATTGTATAAGCACTCATGATATCGTTACGAATATGCAAACTCAAAATGAAAAGAGGTGGTATATATATATATATATATGAAGCTTGATCAAACTTTTTAGACGGAGATCATACCATTTTTAGATGAAGTTTCTCCTTCAAAAGCGTGTTTTCCTCTTCCTTAAGCTCAGCAAATGTCTGGAACACAAACAAACAAGAGAATACATTCTTCAAGAACAAGGCAAGCCAACAACTGAATTAAAGTCAGCAATAAACAAATGCATGATTGATTTTCTTTTCCCTACAAGAATTACCTTCTTTCGTCTCAATCTCTTGGTAGTGGTACCCGCCGGCGACTCATTAGCAACAGCACCCTGAAAAACTAATCCCAAAACATATTAATAAGAATCAATAGGATCAAACAGAACATTAACAAGAATGAATCAGGATTACATGATAAGCAAAATAGCAAAAAATTTTGAACAGTAACAGGCCCGCCACGTCATGACGTCCACGTGGTCACTTTAAGAATGTGACCGTGACCACACCCAAACGATTTCCTGTTATGGTCACGTGGATCTTCCTTTTCCTCTTCTCAGCCCAACGACTTGCAGGCAATTCTTCATTTATTTATTTATTTATTTATTTTTATTGAAAATATTTCAGAAAGCACACACAGGAACCAACCATGTACCATCGCCACACCTGATAATTACTCCAAGTCTGCATCAAACCTAACGCAGACCTATCTCTTGCGACCTGATCCGAATTGGGCCCTCACTGTGTAGCATCGTCGATGGTCGTATCAGGGCCCCGGTTCGACCAGACCGGCTCTGAATTTTTGCATGTGACCGGAATACCCTCGCGATTTACGCGTCAAAAAGAGGGGGAAATGAGAGGAAAATGGCCGAAGGGAAGTTTCGAGGTAAACCGACGGCGATGGAAGAGAGTTTGTGTTGGAAAAATCTCGTGCGTGACGAAACAGCGACTCGGCGGTACGATTTGGAAAGCGTTGGAATCTAGCGAGGGATTTGAAGGGCATTTTGGTCAATTTGGAGAAGTAAGGGATTTGGAATCGTAGAGGAGGTGAAAAGAGGCGAGAAGAAAACGCGAAGTATTTTCAACCAGTGTTCATTCTCTAACAGTGAACGTGAAAATTTTGGAGAATCTAGGGGTATATCGGGGATTTGATGAATTAAAGAGCAGTTTCTCGTCGATGATTTGTGAGGATTGTCCGCCATTGACGGAGAGAAGATGAAACTGTTTGGTGAAGTACAGAGCGGTTATGGAATTGAGAGATTTGCAGTTGTGTGAGTTTTGACTTCTGAGAGAGTAACTCTGTTTCGCTAAGCGGATGAAGAAATGAGAACATCGGAAGAGATTTCACGATACGGAATCAGATTCTTGGAAAAACAAATGGAGAAATGGTGACGATCCAATATACGAGACTTCTCGAGATAAGAATGTTCTATCTGAGAATCCACGGTGCCACCGACCGCCTGAAATCCGCAGCCGACACCACCGCCGAGAAAAAACGCAATTAAGAACGCCGGCGTTAAGATTTGAGAAATCGTGGAGAACAAAAAAACGGACGCACAGCCGATATAAGAGACGAAACTACAAAAATCCGAAACAGACGAAACAGAGAATGAGACGAGAGGAGAGAAAGAGTCGAGAACCTTAAATCTGGAAGCAACGTGCAAGAGAGTAGCGTGACGGCTAGACGCCTCATAACCATCAAGCGTAGCGGAAGGAGAAGCACCGCCGCTCCAGGAAAGCGGCGTCGTAGGACTACATCTGGTGGAGTCAACATCCTTGTTATTCCTCTCCAAGACAACATCGCCACATCTCAAAACCACCGCAGCCATGGCTGCCGCCGTCCTGGACCTTGGTTGCCTAACCCCCCAATTAAACGGCAGCTTCATGGGACGAGGAGATTTGGAAGGCGACGCAGCCTGCGACTGCTTCAACCGCACCAATAAGTCAGCCACCACGCTGTCCTCGGCCATGGCGGCCGTAAGCCATTCGTCCTCCACCATCATCGCTGCAGAGAAAAGGGGAAACAGGGGAGAAAAAGGAATCAAAAGAGATGAATGGAGAGAGAGATGGGCCGAAAAGATTGATAGAGAGAGAGGGAGAGAGGGTGGCGGAGAGAGTAAAGGAGAGTATAAATATTGGGAATTAAGATTAGACAGAGAGAGGGAGAGAGAAGTGGGGTTTATAGGTGGTGCTTCTTCAGGTTCCTTGTTCCACTTCCTTTGTCAGCTTTCTTTCTTTCTTTTTTTTTTTTTTTATTTCAATTAAGTCTTGGATATGTGGGCCATACGAGTGACAGCTCCCATTTCTGTTTCCAATTTTTTAAATTTAAGATTCCAATTTAATTTGGTTATTGTTTTCTTCTCGAGATTTGAAATTAGTTTTATTTGCTTTTTCTAAGATTTTAAAACGTTTTTTTATTTCTAATTTATCTCTAAATTTTTAAATTTCATCACAAAATTAAATTTAAAATTTTTGTGTGTTTTTTTTTATAAATTTGAATACATTCGACATGCATGTAGGCAAAGGTTAATTTTTCTGCACATAATAGACTGTAATATTTGATGTCCAGCAAAGGTCAATTCTGTGCATTGATCAGGTCCACATTTTGTGCTCAAATCAAGGTTAGATCAAATACCTCATGAGAAAGGATTGAACTAATGCAATCCTTTCAAGTCAATGTACGTCACTTGACTGGGCATATGAGTAGGGGCTTGAGAGAAATTCTCGTGCTCACAACACTATTACCTTATTACACTCGATTTTTTTCTTAATTCAATTTTTTTCTTAATTCATTGACTACAATTCACTGTATAGTAGAATCGACTTATTAATACTTTTATAAGATAAACCCAATAAAAATTGGATTGAGTCATACTTTACAAAATTTGAAAGGGACAAAATGGATTGAAAATAACCTTCCAAAATTGATTTTGAGAGTAGTGTAGAAATGAAATATTTAATTAGATTAAACATAGATTTTTTAGTATAGGAACGCAATTGGGTGGCATCCTTACCTTAGTCCTCCACTTAACCAACGTGTTGCCCAATCACCAAAGTCCTCCAATAATAGACCGCCATGTCAGGTTGTGGTATTGAAGAATTAATTAGCCAATGACCACTTCCCATTTAAAGATCGGCCTAACAGTTGGAAAAAAAAACACCTAAAATACCTCGTAATTTCAATACCTTCCCCGAATTTCATTCAAATTAATTTACGGTCAAAAAATATCTCCCTTCTTAACACGCAAGACCCGAGCGATTTAATAATATCGAAATTTTATTTTTATATTTAAATTATTTAACCAAAATATATAGTTTTTTAAACTAAAAAAATTAAATGTAAACGTAAACCTATATTATATTATTATTCCGTCATCTAAGTATATTCATTTTGGTGGTCACGGGGATCGAACCGCAACATTTATGAGAATATCAATATTGGCAGCAACTAATATTGTCGTACTTAATTCAACTCACTTTATTGCTCAATTAAAATTCCATAAAACCATTACGATGCATTTATGATTTTTTTTGCTTTTTGTCTTCAATTTTAATATACACACATATATAGATGTACACAATATTTGACAAAGGGTACGATATATTATTCTATTTTTTTTTTTTGCTTTTTTTTTTTTTTCAATGATCTAAAATTTGTAAACCGAATTTTCCTTTCCCAAGTGGAAAATGTGAGATATTTTCAAATTTTATCACATGGTTTAAGTTTAAAAATATTATATTTTTACCCTGAATTTCACTTCTGATCACTTCTGATCATCAATTAATTAATTTAAAATAATTACAACGTAACATTTTTTTATTAATTTTAATAGCGATGAAAAATGAGTAAAACCTAATTTGATTATCATTAATTATTTAATAGGCATTATCATCATGAACAGAGAGTGAATATTTAGTGAATAAATAAAAATTAAAAAAAAAATCAAGGGCATAAGCATAAATTTTGAAACCTGAGAACCAAATGAAAATTAAACACAGAGACTGAAACGTAAAATTGTCACAATATGAAACCGAAACACCACTAGGCCCAAAAGAGCATTTGCAATTAATTTAGCTCATAAAATTAATTTCTAAATATAAATTTATTCAAAATAACTGACTAAATAAATAAACCCAAATTCTAATTTTATCTTTATAATTTCAAACACTATTTTTTACACCTAAATTTTAATTTCAAGCCGGAAATAGGGCCTTCCTTCCACACTGCAAATCCAAATCATCTCCTTAGATGAAACAGAGACGAATTCTTCGTAATTTAAACCTCTCTCCCTCCTCTCGACAACCAAACCAAACTATTCTCTACCATACTATTGAAGCCCTTCATTGTTTGCTTTACACTCTATGTAAATTCCCTCATATGTAAATTCCCTCAAAGAATGTTCATCTGCGAGCTAGAAATGGTTCTAAGCAGATAGCCATACCTAACAGACCTCCTAACGAACGCAGTCTAGACAAAGAAGAGGTTTAGTTAATATGCAATGATTAGTAAGATAAATGGACGATTAGTCTACTCAACCATCAAGTAAACTACCTCTACCGACTTTCTAGATGAAGACTAGTCTGTTTAGATCAACTAAAGTTGTAAATGCTATGGAATTCAATGACACAGCTGTAGAAACTTAAAGAGCATAAAGATCGGTTCTTGTTCAAGGTCGAAATGATATTAACAAGTATTCTACAGAAGGGAATCTCAAGGAATTCTCTTCGGAACCATCGACAAAGTCGAAATGATCAACTATAAAGTTCTCTTCGGAACCATCGACAAAGTCGAAATGATCAACTATAAAGTTCTCTTCGGAACCATCGACTGGTCTACCTCTACCGACTTCCTAGACGAAGACTACTCTGTTTAGATCAACTAAAGTTGTAAGTGCTTCAGAATTCAATGACACAGAGGTAGAGCCTTAGAAAATATAGATTGGTTCTTGTTCAAGGTCGAAATGATATTAACAAGTATCCTACAGAACGGAATCTCAAAGAATTTTCTCTTTGGAACCATTGACAAAGTCTCAACTCGGATAAGATAGTTGGATTTTCTATGTTATCTTTCACTGTAAACGAAGGTCAGTTATGAATTCTGAGTATATTTTGGCCTCAGAGTTTTATGAATTGGCTCAACCCAAACTACTCAGATTTATCGATAAAACAAGGACGAAGCTAAATCCTAAAATTTATAACGTTGCTAGGAAGTGGAAAATGGTTATTTGTTCATTTAAAAAGTTTTCAAGAATCTCTAGACTTCGATCAGTTACCCAAAGAATGCCTATCGATCTCGTTTAAATCCTTGGAGAACAGGAGCAAGCAAATGCCATTAAGGTTTATACCACAGACAACCATCGACAGTAAATTCACTCCATTCGAAAGCACTTCAAACTTGAGTGTAGTGATGATTAAACAAAAATATCAGATGAACTAGATTTCAGTTGCTCAACTACAAAAATAGTACGAAAATTCAAGTTCTCAATCTTAACAAAGTCAAGGTAAATGAACATTGAAGATTAAATCGAAAGCACCTCAGAACCCTAGCTTGGTGCGACGCCAGTGCCTGCGCTTCGCATTGTATCTGTAATCCAATCGAAAGTAGAAATGGAGAGTGATTAGAATGAAATTAAGCAGATTCAAATAAATTAGGTTTAATACCTGATCGTGTTGTCAGTTCTCAGGCGGATCCAGTGCGGGATTGGCCTGTTCTGCCTCATCTTCTTCGCGAGCTTCTTCTTGATTCTGAAAGTCTTGTGAGACGGCTGCGAATTGGAAGAGAAGAGAAAATCAAATTACAGACACACAATTTCAATCATCCATTAGAAAACAATGAATATCACCAAGTTAAAACGGAAAAACATTCAGAGAGTCGAATAACAACACGTACCATTTTCGAGTTCCGGCAATCGGCGGCGAGCTTGTAAGCAGATGGCGGGATTATAGAAAACCCTATTAGCAGCGAACAAGCTTTATACGCTCTACTGAGAAGGGTAATCGAGACTTGCCCGCGGGCAGCCCAGCCAGATGTTTACTTTCAGTAAATGGGCCTTCAAAAAGTTAAAAAGAAACTGGACCAACCTTAGAAACTAATGGCCCAAAAGTTAGGGCCTAGCCCATTAATTATTTTATTTTCTTTTCTTTTACAAAATTATTTTCATTATAATTATAATTTTTAGAAATACAACAAAAGAAAATAATATTATTATGAACATCTAATTTATGTCTTAAATTTCTTATTCATACATCTAGTTTTTATGTATATGATAATTAATTTTAAAGTTTTAATTAATACAAAGAATCTTCTATTTTAATATATTAAAAAAACTTTAGATAGTAAAAATCATTTAATGAATTTATGTGACATGACGTGTGAATGTGATTGACTGAATGCAAAACATTAAATTTCCGTGTTGACACGACATAAGTGTTGAGCTATAAATACATTTTTTTTTTTAAAAAATACGGAGAAATAACGAGTCAAAGCGGACAATATCTACTAATCAGGTTTGGGTCATTGCAAATGACACCAAAGCCTGACATCGAGCGGAGTGCCAACAAAGACGTTGGCCTAAAAAGAGGTGGATTGTGAGATCCCACATTGGTTTGAAACGGGAACGAAGCATTCATTATATGCGTGGAAACCTTTCCCTAAAAGACGTGTTTTAAAACTATGTACATAAAGCGTTTAAAGAAACAATATCTACTAGTGGTGTGTTTGAGCTGTTACAGTTACGATTATATGTTTTATTGCTCTTTGAAAATTTGATATGGATTTTCGTGTTATATTATATAGTTAATTAATTAATTTTGAATATAAGGTATAGTCCCTAAACTTGTCTGTATTGCATCATTCAACATTAAACTATATTGTTAGTCAATTATTTTAATTAATAATATTACTATAATGTTTTAACATGACATGTGAAATGTTTATCATATTGTATAAATTTTGACTAAGTTGGTAGATTATGACAAATAATAGGTTAAACTAAAGCAAGTGGGTAACCAAATAAAATTAAGGTTTAAATGTTGTCAATTTTTAGAGATTAAGATATTTTGGCACGAAGAGATTCAAAAAATATAAATTAAATTTATAATTTAACAAACACGAGCTTAGAAGCCCATTACAACATTCACTCCTTCACGCGAGGTTCGAGCTTCAATCTCTGCCTT